TGAACACTGTTACCTGCTGGCCTTTTCAAAGACTGAAGAATCAAATGGGATCCAAGCAACTGGAATTCTAAACATATTAGAATTGGTCACCTTGATAGCTAGGGGATAAATTGTATATATCTGTAATAAAATAAGGACATTCCTCCACAGAAGTTTGGTTTGAAAGAGTGAAAATCAACATCTGGAAGAAGCCAGGAAAACATTAAACATAACTTTCTCGGTTCACCTTCATTATAACACATGTACACAGGAAAACAAAGAGAACGGCTTCTTTCTTACTACCTTCACTTTTCTTCTTCACTCCTGAGCCCCATAGTGATGGGGAAAATACTTATAAAAATGCAGAAAGACTTCAAATTCAAGGTCATCTTCATCACAATTTCCTGCTAGAATCCCTCCTTCTTATTCTGTTGCAAATCTATACAACTACCACTAAAATTATGGAGTACAAAGAAATACTATCCTAGATGTGACTGATTTCTCTAAATAGTATTTAGAGAATTGCAATGCCATAAAATACACACATACAGCTAGTTACTGATTTACTTTAAGATTAAACACAGATTATTGCATCTCCCACAGAGTATTTCTATTAATGAACTGGTACTAGCTTTGCTGGAATTGAAAAAATATTCAGCATCCAGTATGGATTAGTTTGGGTAACTTCCAGTACTGTGCCATAATTCCTTGCCTTTCTGTTTTCTTAACAGAACAATCTTTGTGCTAAGAACACAAAATGGAGCCAATTTCAACTCTGTTGAAGAAAAATGAACAAAAAAGATAAAGATAGAAGAAAAAGAAATTAAATGTTCTAGGAATAGAAGTGGGAAATGGTTAAAAAACAACCACCAAAAAACCAAAAAGCACCCTTGTAGGTATCTGTTTCAGTTTTACCATTTTTATATTTTTATCCATCAAAAAATTAGTAATCTTTCCCTGCCTCAGTTTTTTCATCTGAAGCTGAAAAAACATTTCTGAGAGTTAAAGGACATGGATGTTGCATGAATTTAAGATAGGTAGGTCAGATCCTCAGCAGATGTAAACTACTGTAGTTCCACTGAATATCATATAATAGTAACTTATTACATATGAATAAGAGGCAAATCCTTGCTCCAAATACAAAAGATTTCATACAATGCCATTAACTTCAGTAAAATTCTATCAGTTTAATCAATGGAGGAAGCATGTGCATTCTGAAACCATAATTCCCTATGCCTACTTCAATATTTGATCAATATAGAATATACAGATATTTTTTTTTAAATTTATCACAATAAGTATCTGTTCAAAGTGTGCACACTGAAATTACCAATTCTCTTCAAAATCTTTGAAAAAGTCATCTGTGAGGAGTGTTTGTGGGATAGAATGGGAACAGAGTTACACTCAAGTACACTGAAGAGCACTCTTCACATTAAGAGTACAATTTTTGTTGGTAAAAACAGTAGAAGTTAGAAACAGTAAAACAGTCAAATGCTGTTTGTAATACTGTAGTATTTAGAGACTCAAATTAAGAATGAAGATCCCATTTTAAGTAGGATAATCATATGCAGAAATACAGAATTCCAAGTGGGGAACTAAGGAGACAACATGAACAAAAAGCAAAAACAATGAGATGAAAGGTCATTTAAGTTGTTTCTAAAAATATGCGAGCTCCTTGAGGATGGCATATTTAAGATTTCACCTATGTCTATACAAATATAATTACTGACATGAGAAACAGATTACTTAGCAGATGTTTTACATTATCTATTTAAAAAAATATATCTGGGAGGAATTTAACAGATTTCATTGACATCAGGGTTTGGCCCAGTACATTTTAATAAACTATAAACCTGCAGTACAGTTCACACAGCAATCGTTGTCTGGAGAATTTACACCAAATACACTAGACGATGTAATAAACTTTCTTTTAAAGGTATAAAAATGCAGCTAATATGACCTATGATTTCTGGATCACCACAGCCCATGAGTTTTTTTACAAGATTAGAATAAGTGATTCTCTCACTAGTTGTGGTCTTATTTTGCCACCACTGGGGTGTGTACATGAAAGGAGGCTTTGTCTTCAATTGCACATTCCGTAATCCTATAAAATCACTATAAAATAGGAAGGTCATTCATTTTTTAAACATCACAGATTATTTTAACCCCCCCCCGCCCAACTTTTCATTCAATTTTGACAGAATAAACAAAGGAGGAGGAATAAAAACAATACTTAGTTGTACATAAAAAAATTGTATATTGATGCTAAGAGACACATTGACTGTTTGCATTATGATGCTCTAAAGGACATTTTTAAATGTGATGTAGCTGTGTCTCCTACATCAGTTTGAGTTTTCTCCTGTTTCGTACTGAGTCTTAAAGCATACTGTGTGATAATGATCCATTTTGCACATCTACCACGCTAAGGAGAGACTTGCTACTTGTAAGTATTGTCAATCTCAAGAAAGATGGTAGTCAGCAGGAGATTCAGAAATTTAACTTTAAAAATTTGTCTTGATATAGAACTAACAGCTAGCAATTGCTTCCCACCAGGGACTCTCCTGGAACATTACTCTAAGCAAACTGCCTAAGCTTTACATGAAAACAAAATCCAAATCTTGTTGCTAAAATTGTCTGCACATTAGTAATTTTCAAAAAAGGGGTTTTACAGAGTGCCATATAGTAAATTAGTACATGAAAGGCCAAGCCACTAAATATTCTCGTCTTGCAGAACTTCTTGTTACTCCCCCTTCACCCTCACACTAAGTGTTCAAACTTAACACATAGCAGCATGCAGTTTCCACAAGGAGGAGACCCACATGGAAATACTACAAAATAGCAAAACATCCCATTTATTGTTACATTTTGAGATCTTGGCCCTTATATACAGTTTCCCTAATCAAAACACACGATCCAACAAATGTCACTGTGGAAAGAATTATCAGGAATTTCTGTTTTCTTTGTTTGATTGAGCTGGTGTCTGCACGGTAGCAGGGAAAGGGATAGTGACCTAGCAAGGTTAAATAACATGTCTGAAAATTAGACTTCTAAACGGATAGCCTGGGAAACAGAGAATCCTGCTTTTCTAAGAGACATAGTTTGTGTAGTTCTCATTGTCCCAAAAGACACATTAGAGCATATAGTTGTTCAAAATTAGCTAACCTAGAAAAGGCCTACTGTTAAAACTTGATTAAGTGAACTGAAAGCACAAGACTGATTCTTCATAGTGAAAGCTGCCATTACATCAATAGGAAATGTAGCTCATTATTCTGGAGTCTAAAAAGACTTCACAAATGGCCGGTTAACAAGGTCCACTGGTACAAAGACTTCATACTCCAGGCTTTCTGCTCATTAAAAAGCATATTTCAGAGGGCAAATGAAGAGATAAAATCTAGAAAGTCCAAAGAAGGATGAAGCCTTTTTGATTACAGCATTTGATGTATCTTTTGGTCAATACATAGCAGTTGATCATATATTTGATAAAGGACACAATACATCTCAGTTCTGGCTAATAATAAAGAAGTTGGCAGCTGTATATTTTCTTGGGGACAAAGCAGCAAGACCCCTATGATACTAAGGAGCTCATACATTTACAATATTTGCAGCTAAATCACTTTTTTCATAGTGAGAGGTTTTTTCTTATAGTTAAAAAAAGGCATGCAATAATGCTCAATCAATGAAGAGCTCATGAAAATGAGATGTAAAATAACAGAACTATCATTCAGTTGCATTGCAGAGGACTACAAAAGTCAGGATTTCTGGGTTCTACTGCCAAGGTCTGTGATCCCTTGTATTTAACCAAGTTTCTGTTTCTCCATCTGTAGAACTACAAAACCATCCTTACAGGGAGATTAACAACTTCAGAGAGATAAGTTATCATGGGGTTATCAAGACCTTACTGGTTATCACCTCAGCTGATTCACAGTAATCACCCATGTATGCACTAAGCAGGTGGTAAAATGCTAGGTAATTCAACTGATCTCATTTATCCTTCCTTCAGTTCATTAGAGAAAGGCCTGAAAGAGCCACTGTGATAACTGGGTCATGTATAACGCAGCTGCATCAAACCTGGGATTTCATAGTGAACTAGTGGATCTTGGTGTGAAATTTTGGCTGTAACTTCAAGGAATAGAATGTCTGAGATTCTTTAATGAAGACTGAGGAAAAGTGCCAAATACTGCTGTTATAAACTGCTAATACTATTCAAACAAAATTACTGCATTGTAAGAAAATGTGAAGGAAATAAGGTTCATCTCCAAAGGAGCAAAGATGATGATGATGGATCAGACGTATTCTGAAGGTAAAATTCAAGATATTACAAGTTATGGAATGCCACGGGCATGCCTTGAAATGTCACATCTGCATCTCCAAAGCTGATTTCTACCCTAAGAGGCTCTTGAGGGAGTTCAGTTTAAGGTGCTTTATCTGCTTTTACTTTGAATTTTTCTATTCACTTCAACAACGGACATCTAAGATAAGGCCTAGTTATGGATTTTGATTCAGTGATGTGAATTAACTCTAGCCCTACCCTTTACAGATACCATCAACTTCTGATCCACATGCAAAGGCACTGGACTTAAGTTAGGAAGCTTCCTACCTTATTCTTCAAGTGAAAATTTCTTCATGCAGTGAATACATGGACATTAACGTATATGAGCAGATAAGTACATCAACGTAATTTTCCTAATGAAAATTTCTCTGTTGCTTGCAATCATTAGATAAATTTGCACAAAAAACAGTTAAGATTTTAAGTTGATAAATAATTATTTTGAAAACTGGTTGTTTGAAGCTGGTAGATTCTCTATCACTTTGACAAGAGTTACTTGGCTGTCCTCATGTAACAAAGGTACTTCGTGAACGAGAATTGCATGAAACAATCTCAAGATGTTATTAGAGATATGATTTAAATAATTTACTATATTATTTGGGCAAAATTCTTCAAAACAAACAGACCCCCAAACATACATTAAAAAACAGAACTGTTAAAAATTTTTAATCTGTATCTCAAATCTCTACAGAGAATATCTCTTTTCTTCTTCTAAAATGTTAATAGTAAGATGACGACCACGACATGGGTCTCCAAGTCAATTATTTTCTTGGCTATTAGAAGACTATAATTTTCAAAACTGAAGCCCCGTTCCTGCATGAAAAACCTTACAAGGGAGACTGGGATGCAAAGACTGAATCCAGCTTCCACTGCATTCAATGGGAAAAATTCCATTGACTTCAGTGTGCCTTGGATAAGAGCCCTGGCTGTGGGGTTTGATCCTTTTCACTTGCTGGTGACTTTGAAAGAATCTTTGTTCTTGGTTTTGGTTTTCTCTGGAAAAATTCAAGAGTTTGAAGGCAGGTGGGAGAGTCTGGCCCAAGAATGGGGGCATGGTCACTTCACGGACCATAAGCACATACTGGCCTGAAAAAGATAAGGGAAAGTTGGGAATTAAACATTTCAAATGGGGAAAGAATAAAGCAAAACCTCCCCCAAACAAAACAGTTTCAGTACACAAACAGGGAGAAGTGATAGGAAAAAATTTACAATCATAACAAGTATTTAAAACAAAGTATGAAAAAAATTATACAGTTCCAATGCCAAATGCTGTTATATCTGCTAAATCACAAATAGAAGACAACTGTAATCATTGAGTAGCCAGCATGACAATTTGTGCTACCGATTAGGACTATCCTTTATTATCATATACAATAATCTCCCAAAACAACATACAGTTAAAATAGCAAAGACACCTCAATGGTAATTTAAACAGTGATTTATGATAATATAGGATTTTAATAATGGCTGGTGTATCTGTAGGATACTTTCTATCAAAAGCTCTCAGGTAATAAAATAAACAATAGGCCAAGTCCCATAAGCATGTATAAATGTACTCTCCTTTATGCATACGAACAGCATTAATAGCTCCTATGGGACTATTCATATATTTAAAATTGGATGAGTACCAATATATACACAACTCCCATGAAAAGCTGCCATGACTGTGCAAGACTAACACCAACAGGCCACCAATCCACTACAAGATTTGTAATAATAAGAAAAGTAGTGAATAGAGAAAGTTCAACTGAGGACTCTTACAAAAATGGCCCTAGAATCTGTAGTGTCCTTGCATACCAGATGTATGAGTTCAAAATCTTCTAGAAAATAATGACAGCCTTCAAAACACTGACAAATAGATGAGGAGACAATCATTGTTCTGCCTTAGCAGATGGAAGGCTAAACTCAAATAATAGAAATGCATGGTGGTTGTGTAGTGTAAAGAGCCATAGCTGGAAAGTCTGAAAATCAAAGTAGATATTACACAGTGGAAATAATTTTAAAGGAATACCGCTTTCCCCCACAGAATGAGACTGAAAAACAAGAAATAGTGCAACATGTCTGAAAGAAGTATTTTTAAGATACTACATACATTGCACTGACACTAGAAAAAAAATCCTAACTTACAGATCGATCAATCTCTGACCTCTGTAAGTCTCTTCACATGCAAATCTTCAATGAGACTTCAGCTTGCAGCTTTTGGTGCTAGTTCTGAATTATGAACAGAAAAGGCATTTCTTATAGGAACCTATGAATCTGTAGGGTGCCAAATAAACAATCTAACATCTCCTAAAACTCAACATCTCCTGCCTGTATTATGTGTTTCTTTGCTTTACTCTGTGCATGTAAAAAGGATCAAAATATAGGGTATTTACCATGCACCTTATGGAAATATCTGCTAGCTGCTCTATTTCTGGTGTATTACATTATCCAGACAATAGCCTTTTAAAATATCTGTACGCTATGTACAGTATAGATCTTGAACTACCATATATTCTGTATATTCCAGAGAGATAAACAGAAGCGCAGATTGTTTTTTCTCCAGTAATTTTTTAGAGATAACATAGTCATTTAACTTTTTAACCTGAACTGCTTCTAATTACAGGGTTGTTGGTTTTTTTTGTTTGCTTGTGTATGTGTTTATGGGGTTTTTTAAGAGTGTAAAAGCTCCTATAACTGGTAAGCAGACCAACAAAAAGAAACTAGGATTCTTCAGATTAGACAGAAACGTTTTAAACCCTTAAAGGAGTAAAACTGAGTGGAATTCACGAATTCATGACTATAGCTCCTTAGAGTAATCAATTCCAATCACTATTAATAATATAACTTTCCTTTCAAAGAATTACTTTCACCTTATAAAGTCAAAGCTTGTAACCTCCTTAATCTTTAATAGAGCCTGCAACAATTACTATAAGGCATAGAGGATCTACAAGTTGGAAGCCCTGTGTGATTATCTCTTTTTCCAACAGACTCTTTTGATGATCCTAAATAACAGTACAATTACCATAAAAATTAACAGTACTACAGTTAAAGAAAATCATTATAAAGGTTTATATGAATTTTGCAGCCACTAATAGACATAAGTTAACGAGCCATAGGCTTTCCAGAATATGATATCAGATATTTTTCCACCAATGAAACCTTCAGAGTTCCAAATCCTTCAGAGGTCACCAACTTCAAAAATAGAATAGAAAGTTACTGTTTAATACTAATGTAAGTAAAAATGAAAGCGAAGTGTTATAGCAAGTATCATGCATGGCAATTTGAACAGTCTAATAAAACAAGATAAGGAAATCTACCTTGTCAACAACTTGGAATGAAGAAAGACAAAACTAGAATATTGAAGATGAGCAAGATGCATTTTGAATACTCTCTGCATATTTTAAATTCACATGTACGCAGATTCATAGCTTTAAGCTAGAAGGGAAAGTTAGGATCAGGGCTTATAGACACCAAGTAACGGAGAGAAATTTATCATGCCCCTTGGAAATATGTTCCCAAAAAGGTTATTGTAAAGAATGTGCATTTTGACAACAGCAAATAAAGCTGATCTTCCATTCCATTACTCTTATGCTGTATGCCTGGGATGCTTCAAGCTCACAGTAACAAAAATATCAAGAAAGCATGGCTCCTACAATAACAATGGCCTTTGTTTTTGTCAGTCATGTTTTTAAAGAAATGGCAAATAGAATCTGAGTTTTTAAAATGACTAATAAAACTCACTACAGCACAAGAAACAAGTATACATCATCCATTTTAAGGAAATAAAAGGTTTTTTTTTTAATCTTTTCCCTCCAGTCAGGAGATAATAATATTTCCCTTTGGACAGCAACCGCCAATTTCTTGACTTAAACAAGTAGGTACAACCTCACTAGCATAATTCAGTGACATCATTTGATGTGAACTGATGATCTGGACCCAGTGGATAGCACGTTGCACTGCTTCTCCTGTTCCTCTGTAGCCTTAAGAACATGCATTTATTCACACTTTCTCATGCTATTGCCACATATTTATTTTCAAAGTAAACTTCAATGAAAGCTTCCTTCCATATGTGACTTTGCTTTTTGGCGTCATAAGAGCAGAAGACTGAAGGCTCCCACAATCTTGTTTATAATCATGCACAAGATAAATATAATGGTTTTAGAGAATATCAGAAACAACAGAATACTAATTAAAAGTAGCACCCAAAATTGTCAAGATACATGACATATTAGACACTTAATCAAGACACTAAAGATAAATGTTTTGAAAGAAAAAGTTCTAGGAACATTTGACTGGTTTTCTTTACTAATCCTAGAAATAATTTAAGAATTGACATAATCTTCATGATCGATACGTTCAGTCCTGAAGTTATACTATAAACCAGCTTCTACAGCTTTTCAGTTGATTAATATGATAATACAGACAGGGGAAAAAAAAATCTTTACCTTGTAATGTCTTCAAATTCTTTATGAGGTGCTGATCATTTTGTAGCTTGTATTCTTTGGATGTCATGTGAGATCTAAAGATTAGAATAAATATATTGTTACTACCAATAGTGATGCTTACTTACATGTTGATAAGAGCTTGTTGTTATAAGCTCATAAGACAGTTCAAGACTCTTCCTCCTGTAAGATGTTTTGTACTGTTCACTTTAATGTGAAATACTTGGCCCCTTTCAAAACAATATAATAACAAGCTTCAGATCCTTTAGGCTGGATTTTCAAAAGCATTCAGTATCCTGAAGCCATGTTGCCTTCTTTGCCAAAATAAGCTAAATATTACCAATTGATGTAACAGTTTAAAAGGTGTAAACGTATTTGTGAGATAAAAAAAATTATACTTTGAAAATTATAAAGGAAGCGTCTAACAAGTACTACCTGAGTCACAGTCGCAATCACGTTACACTATAGACTACAAAGCCACTTACATTAAAATAGTGTACAGATTATTCACATTTTATAGTATACATGTTGATACTTTAGTGTATGAAACTCCTTGTACATGAGAAAGCTTAAAATATATTGAAAAAAGCTAGTATTTAAATAGTTATCCTTGTATTTCGTAAAAATAAACACTTCTCACTACTGATGAGCAATGAAAATGAAAAAGGTTCTCTCTTCTTCTTCCATCATTTATTCACTTCTTTCCTACTTCAAAGTTATTAGGACATTCATAACAAAGCACACAACAACAAGATTATTAGGAAGATATTTAATTGTGTGCTTATGTCCCATGAAAAATAGACTGATCTAATGACACTACAATTGTACTTTGTGGGAAGCTGGATTTAAAGGAGATTACATGCTTTTTATTTTACCAGCACTTCAACATCATCTTTGAAAAACTCTTGGCAATTAAAAGATTTTGATCCGAGAGGAGAAAGCCTCAAGACTGTTCTATAACACGTGATATGAGATAGTATAGGAATGGTATTTTAAAAAAAACATAAATCAATTGGAGATCCACTATTGAATACAGGTGGTGAGTAAGAATCACATACAAGTAAACATAAAAAGGTTTCTACAGCCTAGTTACCTTAGAATTACAATTACAAAAAATCAGATACCGCATCTTAAACATACTTACATTTTGAAATTTTACATGTACATTTTTTAATGGTAAAACACTAAAGACAAAAGATAAAAATGGCTTCACTTTAAAGGGGCTGGGGGGGGGGAGATGATACATCCCAAGAGTCAAGTTAAAGATTCAGAAGTCAGGGCTAGGAGGGAAAAGGAAGATAATTAATTTAGCATGAAGCATAACTAAAGCCTGTCAGTCTGCCAACTTTAAGAGAAATAAAAAGGTTTACAAGGATCCTGAGAGTTTTTACAGAACCTCTAGGGTTTTGAAAAAATAAATCCAGAACAAGAAAAGAGTTCTGAAGTACCCTGCATAAACAGATTTTAAAGACACTGATTAGACTGTGAGAATAATGGTATGGAAAGATTCCTCTAGTTCAAAATTAGACTGTTTTCTGGTGTTATGTTTGCCCTCCTTTATCATCACCGACTGCATCATCAGTAGAGCTGTCTTTTTTCACAGGTGCATCGCCCTGTCAGAAGCCGGGGAGGATGTGCTTATGGTCGACCCAAACATATCAGTACCATTTTGAATAATATGGATAAGCCTATGTTTGGCATTAAATGTACAGGCACTGCACAACACATACACAGTTATTCTTCTAAGATGAACCACATGTTCATGCTTAAATACCAATTTTGATTGCCTTTGAACTGAGTAATTTCTGTGTTTTGGAGTGTCAATATTCATGGCTTAATGTAAGACAACTAAGCAAATAAAAATCTTCGTAAGCCTTGGCCACTCTTTTTATGGGAGGGGGGTAGCACAGGGGGGAAGAAAGGGGTAGCTTCACATCATTTTCTTCTACTTTAATTTTTTTTCCTCTTATTGTTTTTTTGCAGTAAGAATATATAGCGAGGTCCTTTGAATTGCATAAAAACAGGAGTCAAACTGCAAAACCTGCACCTATGTGAAAAATTTTAATTCCATATCATCATCACTTTTTACTTCAAACTAAGATGTAACCTTGTACTTCATTGCTCAGACAATGTTAACTGTAGGAGAATCACAGAAAGGAACCAAGTTCATTTAAGACATAAAGCAATTTTGAATTGCATTGATTACAGTGATCAGTCTATCACTTTAATGTCATCTCAGCTGGCATTTATTAAAAAGACATACATGTGACAACCCATTGATCCTTAACACTGTAGCTGAGATAAAAAGTCTATTTGCAAAGGAAAATTACTTCTTTAATTAGAAATGGAGTATCATTTTCTCTTTTCTTTGTTAGAACTTCAGCAGCCACGGATGAAATATATCATGGGAGGGGTTGTAGAATCTGCCATCTAGTTTGATTTAAAAGTCTTCATAGTTAATCATTCAAAGTTGTACAAATGAGCACTTGAGACGGGAAAGAAAACAGGTATATTCCACCTGTATGAAGGCATTCCAACTCACTACTGCTTAGGAAAGGTCTCAAAAGGGAGTGCTTTACTTCCTGGTGGACTCTGCCATAAGACTGAAGTTCAGGGGACAGGGTCACTACTGCTTAAAGTCCCTCTCTACACATGGAGTAAAGCAGCAAACAAAAATGGTTCCACAGACTTTCTGTAAGATTTTCAATGAGTTAACTATGGCTAGGCATATACCTCTCCTAACGACAAACTACTGAATACAAGTATTTGCTGAAAAAGAATCCAGCAAATATTTGCCAAAGAATATACTGTAGAAATGACTGACTCTTGCCAGTCATTTAATGTATATGGAAAAAATAAATCTCTGTCTACCAAAAGATATTCCACAAGCAGATGAAATGATAAATGTGTCCGACACACTGTGAAGGACATGCTGTTCTATAAATTCCAGGAGGATTCCTTGTCGGTGAACAGAATTTTGAAGCCAAGTAATTTAATCTGTGGACCTATAAAATCCTATTTTTAACAGTTTTCTCTTTGTACAAATCCAAAATTACGTATTTGGAAAACCTTACCTTTCATACACTGTCTCTTTTAGCTCTAGGGATAGCCAGTCTGATTCTCCATTAAGAGGTGAATCTCTCTATCAATTGAATTGCCTTCTTTTTATAAACTGTATTAATGGTTTCCTATCACTCTCTCTCAGGAATGCAGGGGCATCTCCACACTCTACAGACATGCATTCTACCACTCCTTCTACTGTTCTGTCAGTATCATGACCTTTGGGAAACAAAGACAATGGTAAGTTTGCATGACTCATTACAAACTGCTATTCTGTTTTCAACTTTGGCAGCTATCTTAGTGCTGCACTACTAGTTTTATTTTATACACTACTTGAAAAGCATGTAACTCAGCAGATACGGGTTTAATTTCTCTGAGTTTTCAGGATGAAAATCATGAACTAATACTACGGTGGAGTACACAAGTAAATCTACACACTCTTGTGGAAGTAGACTTTTTACATCAAGTGGAATTAATTCTGGATAATTAACTCATATTCCATTTTCCCCATCAATTAAAATCAGAAAAATTCAATGCCCTGCTGATTTTTTAGCTGAATACAGAGTCTATATGGTAAAAGATGTCCAGACTGAATGATTATTTACAACAAAGGTCTTCAGGACCTTGAATTATTTAGATTCTTTTGTACAGTATGTAACATTCAGGATTTATTTAAATTGCTGCCTACCAATAAACTACCAGTAACTCTTCATCTACTCATAAAAACAACTTAATTGGACTGCTATTAGATATTTAATTGCCTTCACAATGTTTGTACAGTATTTGCCTATAAAGCTTTAGATAATATTGCCTTAATTCATCTGAGTAAACTATCAATTCCCTTACAACAGTAGACAAAAATCTGCATTCCTGTTTTAACTTTCCCCAGGGCACAAATGAAAACTTTCAGGTGGAAAATCTTTATTTTGCTATAAACTCTCATTATGGCAAGGCAAGTTGTCACAGATGATGACTACTGAAACGTTTAAGTGTGTATCTCCAGCCATTACACAGGGAACAGGAGCTGTGCAAAAATTCCCTGTACAAGCTCTGAAAATTTAGCTCTCAAACATCTAGAAATGCAGAATTGATTTGCTGTGATTATTCTTCATAGCAAATAATTTTCATCTTTAACTAGACTCAACTGGTGAAATACTCAGCTGTTATCAACCAGTAAAAGTAATTTCAGTATGACTATGGCTATTTTACAGAAGATACAAATTTGGCCCAAAGTTTGTAGTTCTCTTTGAAATAGCTCTGTATGAACACATACAAGTGTAAATTGATAATTTATCTGTTGCAGGGTAAGGAAAGGAACCAGCACATACAGAATTTGGGGTTTAATCTCTAAAACTGGGCAGGAAGATCTGAATTGGGATACTAGAATCACGATTATTCAGCTGAAGCAGAGAATCTGGGCTCCCAAGGTTAGGTTGAGATTAAGGAGAATTCCTGGTCTTAATATGTGTTACTGTTTAAGTGGTATTTTGACACAGAGCTATGTATTTACAAATATAAATAAAGAGCCTAAATTAGCAAATTCTATGTAAAGATATCACTATGTCTAGAACTTGATGAAATGATTCCAAATACTTTAGAAGTATGAAAAAGTTTCTATTCAGGATGGTGGAACGATTTGAGTTGAGTGATTTTTGTATTATTAGTTTACAAAAGGTAAATTATGTATAGGAGACTAGGACCATAGAATATAACAACAGAGACAGAGAGTCTCAGTATCCAGAACTACTGCTCTGAATACAGGATACAGTTGCTGTATAGAAAGAATGACTTATATGAAAAAAAATTAATGGATGGAATTCATATCTGCTCCAATTCCAGAATCTAGTGTAGGATGATGCTAATGTCATCTAATAATATCAGGATCAAAGATGAGTGGAATAAAACTTCCAATTTTAGATGCTCTTTATCTGCAGGTGTGAATGTATAATGAATTCTCGCCACTGGCTCCCTATTATAAATCCAATGATTTTGTACTCTATGACAGCAGTTTCTACAATTTTCTTTTGGCACAACCTGCTTGGAATATATGACAAAACAGCAGGGTGCCAAAACGTTTTTCTAAATGATCTACTTTGCAAGACAGCTTCCAAGTGTGACCCTGATGAATCTTATCATTACTCTTGGAATAGAATAAACATGAAAGAAAGAACCCACATATCATTTACTTAAGCGGGCATTTCTTTGTTTCTTTTACATACTACTTCACATCCATGCCAAAGTATTCATTCCAACATACAAAGCATTTTAAACCCAGGTTAAATAAAAAAAACATTATTGGGTAGGATAGAATCGCACTATGCCTATTTTTGAATCCTGTTGTCTCAGACACGTGTAATGGATCATTTGATGTCATTTCAACTACCATGTTAGCTCTAGTCAACTGAATTGCTCTTCCTATCCATTCCTTGTATGGAACTCTCTAAATTAGGCGGCAGAGTTTTTCCAGTGGACAAACCCATCCTCTGGCAGACTACAAGGGTCAGGATTTGACAAGATTCAAGCTACAGGATAAGGCTGGATGACTCTATACTTTAATTGAATATCAGATCATTTTAATGGTACAGAGAAGCATTTCACTGCAATTTGTAGTGATGGTTCAGTATTTACTTTAATTGGGAAGAAGTGTTTATGTGCAAAAGCTACATCAAAAATGGGGAGGGGATCATTATACATCTTGAAAAATATAGCTCTGAATTAAGGTAGATTCCAGTTGCAACCCAAATTTCCAAAGGCTTCTAATTTTTTCATCTTAGCATGACATGCCTTGCTGCAAACACCAAGAAACAGACAATGAGGATTAGTAGAATGCATTAAGGAAGGTTGCTGAGGTATACATATGCAAGGAAGAGTGAGCATAAAGAGAGTTAACTGTAGTTTGTTCCCTCCTCCTTTCTCAGTCTAGGAACCCTTCCATATGCTGTGTTCTATTTATTATTTCTGCATTGCATCAGGAGGGAAATATTCACGCTGAGCCACAGGGATTAAAGACTGAAGCTCTAGAGAAGTCAGATCACATCCGTCATATCCAGCTGTTTTCAATTCCAACACCTCACACCTGCTTTTATTTATTATTCCTGGGCTAGACAAGACAGGGCTCATTTTTCAATCTTTAAAAGCTTTCTTAAGAAAGACACAAATCAATCTATTCCTTTCCCTTTGCCCCTGCAATAGCCCACCAAAACAACATGAAGACAAACTACTGACATGGTGAAGATCTGACCTAATGGGAAGCCACCCAAATCCTGAGGCTGGACAGCTCCCTCATATCTCCCAGCATGGTGACAACATTGCAAAATGGAACAGGAACACCATCAACTACAAAAATTTGCTGTTAGCATAGACTCTTAACCCCATTTACTCCCACAGATTTCAATTGCCTTGTTGTTAATTTACATTGGAAATGGACTCAAGAGGTTTGGGTGGCAATGAATTCACAAACTAATTCATGTACTATATGCAGCGGGATCTCCACTTCTACCTATTTCAAGCTACTGTTCCACAGAGCCTGTTCATTGGCAGTCCAGCTGAATTGCTTTCCCATTCTCTATTAGGAGATCACACTGCCTCAGCATTTGATAGTCTTTTTTTAATCAAGTAATTTTTCCAGACAGGGACTCATAAGTCATTCTTTTTGCAATCTTCTCTCATGTCACAGGCTAGTTTTACATTAGGATCTTCCTAATTAACTGCTCAACAGTAATTATTCAGTCACATTTAAAATGCAAACCAAATCTACCAGACCTCCTTGTACTTACTGCACAAACACTTTCCCATTTGCAGTTGTTCATCTCATATACCCAGCATACCAGGTTATTATTTGATGGAGCAAACTTGTATCTTGTTTGCAATTCATTCAGTTGTTATGGGGGGGACATTCTGCTTCTTCCCTTCTTTGCAACTTGATGATCAGGATATCCACAGTAGCTAGACTATCTGACTCACCAAGCATTATGCTTTAAATAAGCATGAGCACCAGAAAACACAACGGAACATGGAGACATACAGGTGACAGTGGAAGCCAATGAGAAAACAGCTAGTTGCTTTTGAAAATTTTACCCTTGAATACATCTTGCTTTCTTGATAAGCGAAAATATGGATGGAACATGATGGAGGTGGCAGATGGAGTTGCAATACTGCTTAAACATAAGCACAGAATACAGACATTTCTGTTCTACACTCCCGAATATAAACAAAACCTACTAAAATGATTTTCTGTATGTTTCCTGTACTACTGAAGATTTTCACTGCTCCCACCCTACCTCCCATAGGTCTGCTAAAGTCATACAAAGCAGTATTTTCAGGATCTAAGCTACTTTGCCTGTCTCTACAGCATGCCACCCCTGAAAATCTCACTTTAAGCAGATTTTCTTGCCACTTTGGAGACTGCCTCAGCAATTTGCATGACGCCACAGTGCCTGTCTGCATGAACTATAATGGTCAGTGAGCAGTCAGCCCGAATCCTGCAAAGGAACACTATGAAGATTCAACTGAAAGGAGGAACAAGGCAATTCCTTGTTGAGGACAAGAGTAGATCTATAAAATAAAGGATACTCCATAACAAGAACTACCATCAGTCTGAATTCAAAACCTAACTGATTCATTAAAATTTGGATAGCATGAAATAAAACATACCTATAGTTGCCATAATACTGATGTGCTGTAAATGCTATCCAGTTTTTGGAAGAGTAATGTACACTTACTAGACAGACATCAAGGCAATTGCCCATAATACAACGTTACAAAAAAATAGATTGTATGGTTTGCAGTAGCATCAAGTCTCTATTCAAGTGTAAAAAAATTAATTGACTCCATCTGTATTGGCCTAATGACTGATTAAATGACTAATCACGGAAGTCTTAATTAAAATCATTTTTCTGTACAGAAGAGGATGGAGGGAGGAAGGCAATCATTAATGTGTTATAATGTATGTCAGATTCCATTTGTGCCATTTACTAACAGCCATCAAATGAGTAATTATGCACAAGGTCATTCTGTAAACTTTCTGCATACATCAGACTGATTGGATTAGGGCTTGGTGCTTGGCTAGGTTCTGCATGTGCC